TCGATACTGCCATAAGCCGGTCGCGCTTCTCTGATAATCTAGGACTCTACTAAGTGCCAGAGGCCTGGTTTGGCCATCTCGTCATAAATCCTATTGGTGCTGATACAATATGGCGGAACCAATAAGATATCTCATTTGCATGCAGTATTACACACACATCTATATAATAATACACATGCAACAGTAACGCACCACATCAATGTTTACTACGATGCCATGTCGTGTCAGATTTCAATGAAATTTCACTAACGTGGCCAGACCAGAGGATCCTGAGAGCGGTCATGCCCGCGATTTAGCTGCGATGGCGATTGAGCTGGTTTCAGCGCCTCTGGAAAGTGGACATTGAACTACCAATTAAAGAGACCAATGAGAAACACGCGTTGAACCGAAAGCGTGCTTCTCATTGATCTCTTTAGTTGGTAGTTCAATGTCCACTTTCCAGAAACGCTGAAACCAGCTCAATCGCCATCGCAGCTAAATCGCGGGCATGACCGCTCTCAGGATCCTCTCTGGCCAGACTCTTAGCTAGAGACTCTACTCATTGTCGGTCCCAGTTAAATCGCAGGTATGGCCGCTCTCAGGATCCTCTCTGGTGTAACCAAAAGGTCCACTTAGAGACCCTCAATCAGAGTCAAGCCATACGATATCCAATTTTGATTGGTCTTCAAAATTGGATCTATTCCCACTCATATTTGAATTAACACTAACCTTACCATTAACATAAGCGTTAATATTTCAGCACTACAAATAAAAATAAATATTGTAGAAGAAATGAACATTGTAATCATTTTATGTACAACATTAAAATATATATAATAAGAATATATATATATATATATATATACATATATATATACACTCACCCGCAAAAAAGCGGTACACTAAAAAATTAGGCAAAATTTACCAAATTTCAAATGATCATAACTTGGTAAATAATGAAGATAAAAATATGTTTAAAAAAAGAAAATAAAGCTTGAAGTGTCCATTTTAAGAATATTTAAGCGGCAATTATAAGCGGTAATTTTTTTTCAA